GAGGTGAGGCTGACCGGTCTGTAGTTACCAGTTACCAGATGTCATCAGTAAAGTATAAGTCCAACGGGATCTTAAATATGTTAATAACCTGTCTTCTATGTTTGTATTACTCAGGCTGTGAAATTTGAGCCATATCATGACAGCGCACTAGCCAGATTTCTGCTAAAACGGGGTTTGAGAGTAAGTACTTTGAAATACAGCCAACTTATGCTAAAGTTGCTGGCATTATTAAAACCCTTTGTTGAGAGATGCGTGCTGATTGTAGTGTTTTTCTTTACCTCTAGAACAAAAGAATTGGTCACTTCTTGTTTTGGTTCTTAAGAAGCGAGATTGCCCAGTCCATGCATTATCAACAGAGATTCGCGGTCATCCTGGAAGCCTATCTTAGGGGCTGTGGAAAAGCAATGCTACACGATTTCATGAAGCAGGTTCAAGTAATTGAATTGCTGCACAAAGTCACAATGGAGATAAAATCAGTGTCAGCAGAAAAGTATGATGTAACTTCTCAAGGTATTTACTAACAGGTGTTTCTTCATTTGTAATAATATTGGTTTTTTCTCTTTGGGTGGGAAAATCTGAGCAGCAAAGTGTACTGTTTATTTAGAAAATTCATGGATAGATTACTGTCAAAGAACACCATTACTACTGCTTATAAAGTGTCAGGGTAAGTTGATAGTGATTGAACCAATAATACATTTGTTTGCTCATTCCTCCCCAGAGAGAGGGGAATATCAATATTATAGACACCCATTATGTTCCCATGCTTTGACTTATCTTCTTGAACCTCACACCATGCAACTGGGAAAGTTAAGTTCTTGTACCCTTAGCTGAATACAAGCACTGAAAAAAGAAACAATCCCGGGACACAAATATTAACTGGAAATGAAGAGACAATGTGGCACTTGCCAAGAAACACAGCCTTACTCTAGGCAGTCATTAAAAGACTTTTGGCAAGAAGACAAGGGAGGAGCTCAGTACGGCCTCTGCAATGCCACAGAAGTAGCGGTTGGATCAGCAGTGAATGTACAGAGCACATCTTTGGGGTTTGCAATGCATTGAATCGGAGTCCTGGGAGACACAGATGTGGTCTTGTTATTTCTGGTTCCTGTAAGCACTGCTTTGGAAGCCACAGCAGGGTTTTGCAAGGCTTGTTTACCTCTGGGGTTTGCCTTTCTTCCACCCTCCCCCCCCCCCCCCCCCCCACCACTTCCTTAAAAGCTTGTTTGTCATCGTTGCTGTTCGTTGCTTGGTGTTGGGAGTAAGTCCGAGAAGATACATGACAAGATCCAAATTCTAAAAGCTCTAGAGAGACCAGCTCTTCCTATGGTCAGCCTGGTATTTTCTAGCCAGGAAGTCCTCAGTTCGGAAAGCCATTCCACTCTGGTTATGCAGACATGGCCGTGGTGGTCTTTCAAAAGAGATTTGAAGGAAATATGCATTTATTCTTCAATATATAAGGTAATATCAGTTACTTTTCCACATAGTGTAAGTTAGGGGACTTACTGAATCCTTCTATAAAATATTATTTCTAAACAACTTTCTAAAATTTATCTTAAAATGCTCTATGATCTTAATATGTTTGGTCAGAATCCCATGTTTTGGAAAGAAACTTTACAGCCTTGCAGATGTACATGTCTGTAACAGCAGTGGTTTCCATAATACATTATCTTTGAAGAGTATGTGGGCAAAGAAGAAAAGTTTCAAGGGAAGGCAATCACATTAACACCCACCAGGTTTTGAAATTAAAGAATCTTTGTATGTAACGTACAGCAGAACATTGAAAGATGACTTATATAATTGACATTTTCACTGAATAAGGCTTCCTGAAACTGTGGAGTGTCATACTAATGCTATATCTAAGTTAATTTATTCTCAGATTATTGAGGATGTGATTTTTCTTACAGGCACCCTCTACTTCTTACATTTTAAAAAATGTATATCCTAGAATTTCTTCTTTATTTTATTACTTCATTTTTCCCCCATAATTTCTAATGTTCATAGTTGTTTATATTTTCAGTCTGAATTTTTCAGACTGTTTCCTTTCATTCTGCCATGAACCCGTATCTAATTCTTGCATATATTTTTTCTTCCTCCAGCATTTGTAAATTTTTTAAAATAATAAATTCTTTCCTGTTAGGTCCATACTAGTCCAGTAGCAATCATGGTGTCAAAGTGTTTCTTTAACTTTTTAGGTAATCTTTTTGCTTATATTTGAGCATAATGAGCAATAATAAATAAGCAAATTCTTAAGATCGTAATATTACAGCTTACATAGGATTATCTGCTTTCATCACCACTGTTAGATGATTTGTCTTCCAAGAATGTCTCTATGCAGCTGTTTCTTCTCTTCAAATGCATAGCACTTTGTTTCTAAGCCAGATCAACTTGAAATTATTTTAGCAAGCACCTTCTCTTGCGTTTTAAAATCAGCAAATTCCTAATCTTTACTAGCTTCAATGGGTTGGCATACAATTTTCAAATTACATTACATTACAATGAAGAGACTTACTGAAGTCAACCTAGATTTGTCTAGGAAATCAAGTTACATTTTAGAAAGCTGTTTTATGACCCAAGTTATTACAACCTAAGTGGTTTTTTTGTTTGATTTGGTAATATAATGGTAGTATGATTTTTGGTTTTGGTTTGTAGTATAATGCATACTGTTCTAAGCTGAAGATTCAGAAGTTTGAGGTTTAATGAATGAAAAGATTCAGTTTACATATGTACATTCAAATTCTTGTTCATATAAATATACAGCAAATTTCCTTCTTTATGGAATGTGAGATTAACAAGGCTGCACTATGAAACCAGGTTTAGGAGAATAGGAAATTCAGTATCTCTATACTTGGGAGTCCTTATGATTACAGTGTAATTGACTCCAAGAATTCAAAAGCTATGAGTTTGTCTGCAAGAGCAATGAGGTAGGTCAAAATAATACTGGAAAATGCGAGGTGCTTTTAAATGCCGCCTCTTTCTGAGCCTTTAGGGTAAATAGTTCAACGTTTCCTTAGCAGTTATAAGGGCAAAATATTTCTTGGTGTGTTGTACTCTGTTTTGTTTTTAAATGAAAGGAGGCATTTTAATGTCATCTCCGGAGTCTTCAAAAGAACGCCAAGCACTGTGCAGTGCATCTAACGCTGTGTGGAGGACATGTGACTTGTGAGGTGCTTGAAGACTTTACCTTTGGGTATCTGAAACAGCCCTGACCATTAATAGTGCAAGTTAGAGGCTTCCTCCATTCCTCAAAGCAGGAGATCCTTGAGGAAAGCAATTTAAAAAGTAGCTAAGCAGAGGAGGTTATTAGCTAAATCATGATGCTTAAGAAGCTTGATTGCTTGTAACTTTTTTGTCTTCCAACTTTTGATTTCATTGTGTTTTCTTACTTGTAATTGCAGTTATTGCACAGCTGAGACAAAAACTTGAAAAGCTACAGAGCAGCAAACTTCCAGAAAGCTTTAGAGTTCCATATGATCCTGGGCTAAGAGCAGGAGCCCTAGTGGTAAGTGTATTCTGAGTTTCTACAAATACTTCTTGAAAAAAAAGATTAAAAATCTCCAATTTGCAGTATCTCTTATTTGGTGAAAATTTTGCTGGTATGTCTAAACGTCTTATTTCACAGTGACTATGATAACATTTCATGTAAGTTTTTGTTCTGAAAGCTATTAGCAATTTTCTAAATGTAATGACATGCCACCATGCATTAAAAAAATGCAACAACGCTTAAAATTCTAATCCTTAAATGCCAATTATGATTCTTCCATTAGTTTAATCCAGGATTTAATCAGGTAATTGAGTTTTTTACATTGAAGTCCTGTCTAAAACTGGGTTATCTGACTTCAGGGGCTTTGGGATATTCAGTTTCTGTTCCTCCTGTTATTGTGTCTATCTTATCCTGATTCATATCTGTCATCAAAGTTTAGGTCCAGATCGTCATCTTGTTAACAAAAATGTCTACTTTAGCTATTTCTGTTTTATCAGTATCTCTATGTTGCTTTTATTAGGAAGTACAATAAGATTTTGTTAGAAATATATTGAGAAACAGTTGTGTTTTTCTGTGGAGCTTCCTCCAGTTTTGTGGTGAGTCTGCAGTGGCTTATGTCGACTCATACGTTTTGCAGAGTTGAAAACAAGATTAATAAATCTGCAAATGTGTAGTGAAAGGGAATTGGCTCATGCCTCTGCTGTGCAATGTGAGGTTTGAGTAAAGCTGCACAGTGAAGATCCTTGGGTTCACTTGATGTGCAGCAAGGAACCTACAGGAAAAGTCCCTTGATTTTTCCCTTAGCTAAGGACAGCCAAACCATCTAACCTAAGGAATTGCTGAATAGTATTCATTTGGGTAACTGATACTGGTTGTCTAGGTCTGGCCATGTTTCTGTTAAATAAACCTGTGCCTTGATAGACAGTCTATAGGCTGCTCTGTCTTCAAGCTGAGAGGGTTAAACACCTCCCAGCTGGGCATGACTGTGGAGTACTGTCAGTACCGAAGTCAATTCAAACATTGTTTACTCAGAAATACAGAATTTGTGGTGTCCTAAATATAATTTTCTTGATTGCATTTCTCTCTCTTTAGTCTTTGTGTACAAAAATCACCAACTGCTTGACAAAAAGTGGATTTAATAATAAAATAAAGGATCTTTCTGGATTTTCTAGTTTTCCTTCACTTAGAAAGTATTCAGCTATGCCAGGACCTTCTGAGATTAAGGAAGCAATAGATTTATACGGGAAGGTAGCTATGTCCAAGAATAGATGGGTTAAAGTTTTTTTTCCCCCAAACTACACAAACAAAAATATCTGAGATAACAAACTGCATTGGTAAGCTTTCATTTCATCTTCATTCTAGCAAGTGCTACTTGTCCATAATCTTCAAACTCTGAAATCTGAGTAGTCTAAACCAAATATTAGAAGCAAAATCAGTGTTTCTAGTAAGTTCAAAGATTTAACAACTTTTTTTCCTTTTTTAAAATAAGGATGGTAAAAACTTTTGTGTTTTTAAACTACAAACTCAGAGCCTCAATCGATAAAACATGAATATTCCAAAATACTCTTCTCTGATGTCATCGATTCTGTCAGCTCTCAAACACTAACGTGCAATTGCTTTTATAATTTTAGATGGCTTTATTGTGCATAGTAATGTTTAACAATGAATCTAGAATAAAGTATTGCATACTACAGTTGTATTAGACAGAATTAGTTGAGAAAACATATGAAATAATGCAATTTCAGTAGTTTCAGTGCTGAATTTCTCAAGATTAAAAATGTAATAAAACTAAATAGGGAATTTATTTTCTTATTGTATGAATTATTATGTTAAATTAGTTTCACAAATGCCATTTCCCCATAGATTTGAATGATTGGCTAAGGGAATTGGATCAAGTAATCTGAAATAACTGCAGTTACTGGAAGTCACAAGGGTGGAGGGTGAATGATGTGGTGAATTGCAGTGGACAGTGATTATGTTCCCATTTTACAAAGGATCTGTCGGAGTGCTGTTGTGAGGGTCCATATTCTCCAGTTTTTTCAGAATCTCTTATTCCTCATTTAAAAGGGCTTTTTTTTTCTGTCTGAAGCAGATTTACAAGCTAAATCCAGTCAGAGAGTCAAGGCATGCTTTTTCCTTCATCAGGGACAGTGTTAAAAAGTTGTGCAGGTTCAGTGAGCAATCTTTCTGTGGCAATCAAGTGCCATACCTTACATGTGCTTTCAGTGTGTTTCTTGTGATATAGCTCACTGGAAGTTGGTAACCTACTCTATAGCTGGTGTGTGAAAAGGTTAGTTGTGTTGATGTTGGAGTGCAATGGCTTGCAGGCAATAAATGTGTCTTTTGCAGATAGAAAAATGTAAAGTAATGGCATCCAAGAAGAAACCCCTCTGGCTTGAGTTTAAGTGTGCAGATCCAACAGCTCTGTCAAATGAAACCATAGGCATAATCTTCAAACATGGAGATGACCTTCGTCAGGACATGCTTATTTTACAGGTATGATAGCTAAAATGTATAAAGTTAATAAAGTGAATATTTTAGAATATTTTAAAATCAAAGTGGTATATTCCCCTACACTGGTCAGGTTTAAGTTAGCTTGACAGGGTGCTGACTCACCTCATTTCAACTATACTTTTACCTTGAGAGGTTCGACTAGATGATCCTGGTGGTCCCTTCCAACCTGGTATTCTGTGATTCTATGATTCAGAAGTGTGCCTACCTTTTCTTTACTGTCCTTTTTGAAGGCCCCTTCCAGCCCAAAACATTGTATATTTCTGTGATACGAAATACGAGGTTGTCGTTTGTTTTTTAAACAGCGTATGGTAAGGCTGACATCAAAATGCATCTTCTTTCTTGTACTACAGTTTTTTATGTGAGTGTGCTGTGGTTAAACCCTGGTAGGATGGGGAAAGAGGAAAGGAAGAGTAAAAGCAAGAGAACTCGTGGGCTGAGATAAAAGCTGTTTAATAAGCAAAGGAGAAGTGGAAGAAGGGAGAAAAACAAGCAGTGCAAAGGCAATCACTCACCACATCCCATGGGTAGAGCAATGCCCAGCCAGTTCCTGCGCAGAAGATGATTCACCTGCCTAAGCTCCTTCCTCTCTGTTTTATCACTAAATGTGATGTTATTCAGCATGGGGTATTTCTTTGGTTGGTTCAAGTCATCTGCCTGGTTGTGTCCCCTCGCAATCTCTTGTTCACCCCCAGTCTATTCCCAGTGGGACAGAGTGAGAAACAGAGGCAGCCTCGATGCTCTTCAAATGCTGTTCAGTGCCAGCTGGGACGTCAGTGTGTTCCCAGCACTGCTTTGGTCACCAGCCTTAACCATAGCACCATACAAACTGCTCTGGAGAAAATTAACTTCATCCCAGGCAGACCCAGCACATACTGTTACCCTGCTTTCTTCTGCCATGTGCCATATGTACTTCACATTTTGGTGTTCTAGAGAAAGTGCAAGATGGCCTGTTTATCTGATGAAGCAGTTTTATCATTTATTTATGCAATGGGTGAAGTTGCAAATGAAAAAGAAATTGGTAGGTAGCATGACTCTAGTAATATTTAAATGATTGTTCTGACAAACTGGCTTGTTAGCACTTTTGGGGATACTTTGGGACCCACTTGCTAATGTTTTCAATCTCAGCTCATGTAAAAATCATACAAAGTATTTATTAAAACTTTATTAAGCAGTAGAGACTGCCTGGTCTTAGGACAGATGAGGAAATATAAACCCTGGTTCTGTAACTGATAATTTTAAACAGCTACACACTTTCTGTATTTATCTCTTAATCTGTAAAATAGACAAGTAATTTTAGCCCCATCTCAGGAGTCTGGGTAGTGTTATTTGTGTGAGTAGTAAGTAAAGTCCAGACAATTTGAAGTAACTTAGCGCATACATTTGGTTTTGCCAGATTCTTCGAATTATGGAATCCATTTGGGAAGCAGAATCCTTGGACCTCTGTTTGTTACCGTATGGTTGTATTTCTACAGGGAACAAAATAGGTATGTGATCACACTTACTATTATTAGCAATTCAAAATTACACCTTCTGTGAGCAGTCTTCAGTTGCATCTTAGCAATGGTTTCTGGCCTTTTCATGGGTTTCTTGCAACTGCTGCACCAACTTAGCTGACTGTGATTCCTGTGCATGTCCATCTATTTGGATCCTTGTCGTGGTTTAGGGCTGGGCCAGCTGCTAAATCCTGGACAGATGCTCTCTATTAACCCCTCTCCCCTCCCCAGAAGGAAAGAGAAAATAGAATAAGGCAGAGAGACTTTACAGGTTGAAAAATAAAACTAACAGATTTAATGAAACAATAATACTAATACTACAGGATAATAATGTAAATAGGAAAATAATGAGATATATACAAATATATACAAAAATATATACAAAGCCAATATAAAATCCTTCTCCCACCCTCTCCCCAATGATGAATACGTCACCAGAGGCTCTGCGAAGCTGGGCACTGGAAAAGTCCCAGACCAAACTCAGCAGCAGGTGGGAGCAGGATGCAGAACACACAAATCAGGATCAGAGGCAGATGAACCAGCAGGGTTCCGCTCAGACCTTGGCCTCTGCAGGATCGAGACAGATGGAAGGGTCCCAGCTGGAAGGACTCCAAGATGGAAGAGGGGTCGAGACCCTCGTGATCCCTCGGCTTTATACCGAGTATGACGTATGTGGGATGGAATACCTAGTTGGTCAGTTTTGGGTCCAATTCTCCCCCCTAGTAGGCGCAGACACGGCACTCATGGTGAGACAACTGACCTTGAGCATAGCTTCTAGCAGCACATACTGGAAAACCAATGCCTTTAGTTTCAGCAAGTTCAGCCACTTAAAAGAGACTGAGCTGAAAAGCAAAATCACTAAATAGAAATTTAGTTCTGTTTAGCTCAAACCAGGACAATCCTGCTGCAAGTTTGTCTTTAAAAACAATATTTGGTATGAAAAAGCAGCAAAAGTGAGTGAGTTATTCAAGATGTGTTTTAACATGCTTATAACAATAAAACAGAGAAGAGTTAAACTAGCAAAACATTTATGTTTTCCTGACGTAAAGATTCATGCTCTGTACATAGAAGCAACAGCATTACTTAACAGGATGCTCAGGCACTTTCTTAGTGGGCATTAGTTCCTGCAGCACAGATGATCTATTTTCAAGGATTCATGGTGGGAGAAATCAAGTAGTTGCTTACAAAGCTTCTGGAGAACTGTGTGATGGTTTGTAGAGCAAGCCAATCGGCTCTGTCAGAGTCCAATTACATCCAGAAAGGCCAAACTGATGTATAATTTATACATCCTGATAGCTCCAAACTGACTCTTTGTGGTTTGATTTGCATATATTATGTACCCTAGCACATCTCCATTGCACAGTTTCCCAGTATCCAGATAGTACAGGATTAACTGTAGAGTCAGTTTTGCTGAGCAGTTGTTGAGTGATTGGCTGGAGGAAAAGTTCCTCAGTGTTTAAAAATTGGCCATGCCCAAATGCAGCTATTGTGCTGGAAAAAAGTGCCTTGGCCGGTATAAACGGTGTATCAGTGAGAGAGATTAGCAAGTACAGCTCTGCTATTTACTTAAACATTGAACGTGTGTAAAACTTAGGAAGTTTGTTAATTCCTGTCATCGTTGTAGCTGGCAGTATGATAATAACTGCATGGATTGATAAAATAATAATATAAATGTGTCTCCCATGATTTTTAGTTCTTTTCTTTTTCAGCAATATATTCTACGTTATGGATCGAAGAATAATGAACTGAGTCCCAGTAAAATTAAGAACTCTTTTTAGTATATATCTGTAATGTACTTCCTCTCTAAAATACATTGCCACATAAAATTTTATCATCTTTTCTTTTGGCTTGAAGATATCTTAGCAATGTGGAAAGCCCAATCTCACTGATAACATACTTGGTAGTGTGGCACAAGAAAATTTCCTTTCTCCTAACATAGCTGTTTTAAAATTAAATAAACTTCATTGATAGAATTCTAAATGGAGGAAGGTGGAGGAATTCTGCCAGCGATCCTAGTATTTTTATATTCAAGTTACAGACTTCATGATACTTGCATGAATTCCTAACTGACTCCCCATTCTTTTGTCTGAAGGAAATAATTGTTTAATTTCCTATATGCATGGAGTTGTAAGAATTTAGCATCCTTTCAGCACCACAGTAGGGGCATAGTTAATCACATAAAGATGACTGTTCAGTTTGCTGAGAATACCTGCAGCCTACATTAGTAATACCCAATGTGAGACACTTTGATGTAGAGCTTATGCTTGTTTGGAACAAAACCAGAGAGTAGTGGCATGCAAATATTCTTTCACAATATTCGTATGTGGTTTTCTTCCAAGCTGCTTCTTCCCTCCCTCTTAATATTTCCCTGGAACTGGGGGCAGTTTCTGTGTGTTGACACAAGGACATCCCATCCTACGCTGAGCACAGGGAAACAGCCAGGTGTCCTACACCTGGGACTGGCATCTCCTGTGAGGAGCTTTCTCAGTCTGTGGAAGACATCTGCAGTTAATGCAGTTTGCAGTTTTAGAAACATCCATCCTCTCCACTGCTGCTGCAAATAGACCTCTGTAGGAGGAACTTTCTCTTCTATGTATCGCTGGTAAAAGATCATACCCTATTCTTTCTCCCTTCCACACGGCCATATGTTCCCAGCTCTGCAAGGCAATTATCACTACTTACTATGCTGCATCACTGCCAAATTTAGGAAGTTCAAGCTGGCACTTAATATGTGTCACATGCTTTAGTACCACAGATCCCTAGAAACACATAGCGTAGTGCATTTACTGCTGCACTTTCTCCCAGTTGAATAGAGCCCAGCTGAGGTCCTCTATCCCAGTTACTTAAATTTTCTCTAGGACTAACCATACCTTCAGAGAGGCACATCTTTATTTAGAAGGATTTGCCAGTAGAGCTGTACTATTCCAGGAAATAGGGTTTTTTACTATGATACCTTTAAAGTATTTACTTGGGCAAAATAAACTGCGCAACATTCTGCGTAGGTTTTTTATCACTCTTTTGGCAGTGCAGTGGGGAATGATAAGCTGCTTTGAAATCTGAGGACTTTTCACACTGTTAATCAACATAGCTGTTTAAATGCAAGAGGAAGCAGGAAAAGCCTCCTGCAACAGCTCCACTCCCCTGGAACCAAGAGCCTGTTGGCCAGTAGAGAGAGATTTGTGAGCACAGGCAGGGGAGGCCTCTTCAACAGCTGGGATGTGATCTGGAGCTTGCTCCCAGGAGGAAAACAGCAGCTTGACAAACACAGACCAGAACACAGGGCTTTTTGATTTGGTGGTGTTGGCAGTGGATTTTGGAGGTCATATTTCCGCAATAGTTTAATTACAAACAAATCCAGGCCACTGGCAAGACAGAAGAAATACCTCCAGAGGGTGTTCATCCATGAATTCAGCCATATGTGGAAGGCAGGAGCAGAAAGATTACAGCATTGTTACTCTGTTACTGAAAAATTTGCACATAATTCAGTAATTGCAAAAGGGTAGGACTGTGAACTGAGAGAAATTAATGTTTCAGAGACAGAGTCAAACTGAAACCAAATCAGAAACTGCTTTGAATCACTTTTGGGAGAAAGGGATATTTTTTTGAGCTGGAGTTGAAGTCCAGCTTCTACCTAGAAGACGCTGTTGAACTTGGACCAGCAGAAGAAAATATAACATTTCCAGTTACCACATGAGTTCAACTAAAATCTGACCTTCCCCTATACAGGCCTGCCCAGTAGGAGGGCAGACTGCGTTTGCTAGTCTGGGCTACAGTGCAGAGTTGTGTTGCAGCCTCTGTTTCTGTTTTTTTCTCAAGCTTCCCCTTTGTCATCTACTATGTTAGTGTGGAGAGTTCAGGTCCTTGTTTCTGGACCATATTGCTATGATCTGCTGATTTGCCTTTGCGAAGATCTGTTCAGTTTAGAGACCAGCCTCTGGGTCCCAACAACCAGCGCTTTCCACCAGCAAGTCCAGTGCTATACCTCGCTGTTTACTGGTACTTCCTCAGATTTGTGAAGTTGGAGAGAAGCTCATGGGAGTGTGAGTGGTACCTGGGCTTCTGCAGGGGATCAGGACAGGAGGTACTTCCTTTCCTTGGGAAAAGCCTTGTGCAAGGCATCCCCACTCATCATGTGGTTCTTTCCATTTTAAAAGGTTTCACATTCTCATGGAGTAGTTTAGGAAGCCAGGCGAGTTATGAGTTTTGGCTGTTTTCAGCTGGGAATGAACAAGAACCACTGTTGCTTGTAAAATAAATTTCTGCTCACAACCCATGAAGTTCTGCAGTTGATTTTGAAATTTAATTTTGCATATTTTTAATATGCTTTGATACAGATTTAACAACTTCTAACTTCTTCCTTGTTTTCTGTAGGAATGATCGAAATTGTGAAAGATGCTACAACAATTGCAAAGATTCAACAGAGTACAGTTGGCAACACTGGTGCATTTAAGGATGAAATACTAAACCAGTGGCTTAAGGAAAGATGCATGATTGAAGAGAAGGTGAGTTCTTTGAATTTTTAAGTAGGATTTTCAAATGCACGCTACTAATTCAGGAGCACAGAGCCCATATGGTTGTGTTTGTGTTACTTATGTGAGTTTGAAAAATCCATTCATTTTCCCTGTACTCGGCTGCGAGTGTCTGTGAAAGAGCCTTTAGCATCCAGCTGGCAACCAAGCTCCTGAGAAACAAAATGCTTCAGAAATTACTCCTTTGTCAGTGGCATTTAGAAGTGATACATGAGGAGCAGATTGAAAGGACATGTAAGAACACTGAAAGGCAGTGTGGTTTTAGAGAATGTAAATACAGGTTTGAGTACTCACAACTGCTTTGCTTAGGTAGGTCCACTGACCTACTAGAGCTTTCTGCCAGCTTTTTTTCTCAGAAGCATGGATAACTGTGTGCTTATTTTATTTCTGCTAAGGGGTAGAGCCTGCTTGCACAGTACAGCGAGTGCTAACTCTGCTGTGCTGTGCTAACTCTGCTGTGCAACGGTGTGTTTTATAAGACAGTTTGTCGACAGAAAAGCATATGACTTTGAGAATGACTGAATTTAGTTTCTAGCATTGAATCATTTAACATCTCTAAGATGTGTTTTTAGTTTCAGGCAGCTGTGGAAAGATTTGTTTATTCTTGTGCTGGATACTGTGTTGCAACCTTTGTACTTGGAATAGGAGACAGACACAATGACAACATTATGATTACAGAAACAGGTGAGTTATTTTTTGAGAATTTTGTAGAAGATGACAAGACTGTCAGTACTTCACTGACTTTATCTTTTATTTTAATAAATAATGCATTTAACAATGAAGACACAATCCAGTTCTGTTAGCAATGCTTACAAGTTCAGGTCCTCCTATGACATTGAAATGTATTGTCACCCGTTTTTGTCTTCATTTAGGCTCTAGATATTTATCATTTATAATGTCATTCTTTACCAAGGACAAATTTGCTGCAAACTAAGTCGTGAGGAATGTAAAATTATTTTTTGGGGTCTAGATCTAAGAGCTAAAAGCCAAAAAACTCTAAAAAGCTTACAGCTGTTCACCTGTCTGGAGTGTGGATGTGGTTCTGACGATGTTCAATGGAACTGTATCTGTGTCAGAATTCAGACATTACTGAGCTATTTTCACTTCCGAGGAACATAATTGCTTTATATACATCTGTAAAAAATACTAGAAAATAAACGTACATGGAGTGTATTGGTTTTGCTACTGTAGTGTGTGGGATGGTTGCAATCTTCCTGAAAGAGCTGCATTTTGTTTGTATTACAAACTTTGGGAATTGTTTCTGCAGCTGCACATTGATTCATCCCTAATTTTACTTACCTGTGGAAGCCCCAGAACAAGCTGTACATATGGAGGGGTTTTGTTTGGTCTGAGAAATTTACTTCCAGTTTCATGATCTTCTTGCTTCATAATGCTAAGAGACAGAAAATACTTTTGGGCTCAGTTAGAAGGCTGTATATTTAATATTAATCATATTATAGTTAAAGTTTTACCAGTTGAAGGCTAGAGTGAAGTACTCTGAAGGCAGAAATGAGCTAACTGACGACTACAGTAGAGAAATTCACCAGAAGTCCTTGAGGAAAAGAAGACAAAGAAATGCTTTAATTTCAATGTTGTATATAATACAATGCTAGAGCCCATTGGCAGAAAATGTACCACTATTAGAAATCTATGTTTTTAAGTAATCGTACTCTTCTATCCTTACATCTTGGCTGCCAGTGAAAACAATAAAGTAATGTGAAGAGCAGAAGCGCACTCCAGGCCTGTGGGTGTAGCGATCCTCAAAAGGGGCGTTTTTCATTGCTTTTCTGGGACCTGATACCCTGCTACAATCTCAAAGTTATCCACAGGGTGACAGAGCAGACTTACTCTGTACAGTACAAGGTTTAGAAATGGGTAATGTGGGTCTGTGGGGAAGAAGCCAAGGAACTGGATACGCCAGAATCCCATGCATGTTTGAAACATAATCTGCAAGCCTTTTCCGTGAAGTGGTGTGCTGGGAGCTGATTGTTACGAATCTAAGGCACCAGCTTTCCTTGGTCAATTTTTGAAAAGCTGTGAGTGTATGTTTAGAAAATACAGCAGTTCTATCAGGTTTTTAACAACTGCCAAAGATATATAAAATGTAACTTTGCTAAGAGGATAGAATTCTATATTTGAAAAAAAATTAAAAACGGTCTTTTCTGCTGAACTGCAGAGTGATCATATATACCTCAAAAAAGAGGTTTTGGAATTATTGTGAATACAAGTAAAGTGTTCTTTGCATTTTATTGTATTGGAGCCTAACTGACTTCTTCTTCTTTTTATGAAGGGAACCTTTTCCATATTGATTTTGGCCATATTCTTGGGAATTATAAAAGCTTCCTTGGAATTAATAAAGAAAGAGTTCCTTTTGTGCTGACTCCAGATTTTCTGTTTGTCATGGGGACGTCCGGAAAGAAGACGAGTCTCCATTTCCATAAATTTCAGGTAAAGAGTGAATATCTAGCTGCAAATCAATTAAGCAATGTTTTTTACCCTCTGAAATGAACATTAGTGCCTTATTTTCAAAGGTCTAGTCTCCTGGATATTATGTTATGAAGTTTACTGAATTATAATACAATTCCAGGATATTTGGGACCAAGCTAAGAGCAAAAATTATCTGTAGGATTATGGGAACTAGAATTCAAACATCTGCAAAGACGCATTGAAATGCTTCAGTTAGCAGCAGACAGATAGGCAGTCCTGTCTTTGTTTCTTGTCTTGACTGAAAATACTTCAGTATTTGTGCAATTAGAGGAGACGCAGCGCACCAAGCAGAGCCTTCTGTGTGGTACGAGCAGGCGCAGGCATCTCTTAGCTGGCTTTGCCAGTACTGTTCCCTCATGTTCAGGGACTCGGACCACTGCATCTGAACAGAAATCTGCAGTGACCCTGAGCTACGTCAGGTTCTGGCTGTGTGAAGTGGATGGACTTAGTGCTCTGAAAGAAAAGTGTGGTGTTAAAAATCTATTCTGTAGCAGCTTCTGTTTGAATTTGAGCCCCTCTGAAACAGTTGCAATTTTTCAAGCTTCTGCAGGACCTGGGCGAGGAGGGAGCAAAGCAAAATACGGTTTGGTATGTTTAATGAAATAGCTGAGAGCGTGGCTGAGCAGATAAATGGATGTCTGGAGTGATATTCCTGTGCTCATCCTTAGCACTTTAAATATAAGTGCCTGATTTAGAAAGTAGGTTCCCTAAAATACCAAAGAAAAAATCTCCTCCAGATTGTGAGTCAAAGCAAAAGCCTGACTTAGATGTTCTGGATTTCCTGTGTGTGAACCAGTCTGTCTGTCCTGGTAAGGAGTCTGGTTTTCTAACCTCAGTACCTAATTAAGGTTTTACTGTTGGGTAGAGAATATTTCCCTTTGAGCATATGCATGATTGTACAGCAAGTAACAAGGCAATCGTCATCCTTGAGCCCAGACTTCTGAAAGTAACTAAAGAACCAGGTGCAGTTTTTTAGCGTTTTGCATGACTAGCTTTATCACAGCACAGGTGTTTTGAAGGGGCTTGTAGCTCAAAAGAGGTAAGAGCAGGGTGGGTTTTGCTATGGGAGGGGAGTGCTGAGCCGTGCTCTTGGAGAAGGCTGTGAGCTGTGCCACATACGGGAAGGATGCTATTGCTGCAGCTGTAAGCCATGTGCAAGTGTGGAGCTGAAACACCACCTTACGAAATGCCATACCCCATATGAAAGGTACGTCCTTTCATAGGCAGCCTCTGTTCTGGAAGCAGAAAATAGTTGAAAATGTGAAATTGTGCTAATGTGGAATTGGAAGGGTAGCACCCTGGTAGGCTCTGCAGTGAGGGAATGTGTTCAATATACACGTCATCCAGCTTCTCAGAGAATGTCTGACCTTCACTTCAGCAGCCCAAATACCAAAAGCAGTAGGAGGTGATTTTGGTCTTAGCCTCTGTTCAATAAGCCGTGCCTTCATCACACAGTTCTGGGTTTGACTGATCACGCATTTTGTTACTCTGGTACAAATTTCTAAATGTTGCTACCGTGCCACTAATGCAGACAGTTTAGGAATGCAGTGATAGTGCCATTGTCATTTGCGCTAGTGTCATTAGCCAGATGAAAGGTGATTAATGGGCTTTACCTTTGTGAACTGTGTCTGTGGTATGTGACCTGGTCGTTGTAAGTGGGATAATTTAGACACAACAGTAATACTCTCGAAAAAATGTAAGTTCATGTACAGTTCTGCTATGTGAGGTACTGTTTATAAACTGCTATTCTGCTAGTACATTAAAAGGATTTTCTGTCTCAAAGACCAGTAAAATACAGCTAAAATACTTCCATACAAGTGAAATAGTAATACAAAGCAAGATCTGGATTGCGTATTTTATTGTAAAGAATATATGTTTTAATTATATAGTCAAAGTACAAAAATAAACAAATTTTCAGCTTTACTTTTTCAACTGGCTGGTTTCATCATGTTTCCTAATATTGAAGGATTCATTCAGTGTGCCTGCTGACTCATTCATGTATTAATGGAAAAGTCTCAGCCTTTATCCTTCATTAATTTTTAAGAGCATCTCTCATTAATTTTTACTTCAGCTCCATTAAAATAGGTTATACTTTAGAGAAATCCTTTGGTTTTTACAGGCTTTGGTGTTTTTAATATTTTAAAATACCTACTTTAAAAAAAGATATTTCTGTCACCTATTGGATACAGTCCATACAGGTGTGTTAGCCATAGCTCATACTGCAAGAGTCAGAGGAGGTTAATTAGACACATGATTTTGACCTATCTTCACTGCAGCAGAGTACAGTTCGTTATTAGTGAACTTCTAAATCTGTCGATGACCTGGCAACTTTTCTGAAACTAGCAATAAAGCTCTTAATCTAAATTTTGCTTCCCTTTTTGTTTGCATTCCTGATGGTTTAATGAAATTTAGATGCCAGAGGTTGTTCATGACATCACAGCAATGCTTAGCAGGAGATTTGCTCTCTTAAGTACGCACAACTTTTTCACTACTTACGTGTAGAAACCCTTGAGAGAGCCCCATCTAAAGATCTTCGTACTCTTTTGAGCTTTGTCCACCTACCTATTATTAGTTTCCTTAAAATTGTCTTTCCTAGTTTTTGCATTAAATTTTGAATGCATTTTTATTCATTGTATTTTTTTCGTTACTTTGCTAATTTGATAATACAGAGATCTGTATTTTCGGTACTAATCAAATTCTTCTGTAACATTTGTTTACAAAATCTCCTGTATTTGATTGTCAAATAAAGGTGACAGAAAGCAGAAGGGTGTACAATTCATCATTGAAAAATACTTACTTGTAGTGTACATACAGAGAAGAGATGATAACAGAACTTGGACACTTTATACTGTAAAGCCTGACCTTTAGGATATTAATGCTTACGACAGTTTCAAGCTCTCAAAATAATTATTCTGTATTGTCTATTGGACAAGAGGATTTTGGTTTGTATTCAGCTCCTCTCATTTTGCCTATGGCTTTAGATTAGTTAGCAGCTTTCTTCTTAATCCCGTGGTAAGCATCTACATATCCTTGACACATACGTATGTGTTATTTTTGGTTCTCTCTGCCTTTCTCAGAAGTGTAAAAATTAGTTTTCTTGGAAGATGTAAATTCAAAACTCCATTCAGTTCCTGTCTGAATAAATAACTGTAACAGACAGATACAGATTTTTCAAATCTTTTGATTTCCTGGAAGGACTGCTTTTGAGATGCGGTGATGCCACATTCTTGACTGCATAATTGTTTTTCTGCCTCAGACACCGGCAATAGTGAGATGCATCACCCATAGAGATACGTAAAACCTTCTTTGATAAAACTATAAAGAGCTTTCATCTCTTTCAAGGGGAACAAAACACACACTAACTCTTGTGACAAGAGTTCCGTGTTTGAAGATGATAATACATAAGTAGAATTTCTTTTTTTAATTATTTTTTCCCCTGGCATCATGGAGAGAAACTAATCCCCATGATAAGATGATGGTGTTTTCTGCTGTAAATTGTGCTTTGACCATTGCAATTTATCTTCTGCTTTGCTAGAAGAATTAACCTTGGAGTTCATAGGCAGAATCTTATTTCAGGACAGAATTTATTTGGAAACAGAGTGAAGGATTTAAGGACCCAGGCAATAGGAAAAAAGAAACCCTATAGACAGATCTTCAATGTATCACTTTGCTTCCGTAGCTTCTTCCTGACCTGTCTATTGGTTGTCCTGATGTTGCTGATGTGAACAGTGATAGATGTCCAGGTTATTCGTGCTCTTCTTACTGTTTCTAAGGAAGAGAAAAAACATACACCATGTAAAAAATAAATGGTGTTCTAGAGGACTGATGAGATTTGGTGGAGCTTTACATGAAAATATTTGGACTCCTTAAGAATTCTTTAATAAATTCATATACATTCGTGGAAAGGTTAATTTGAATATTTAATTGGGTAAAAATTAGCATTGCTTCAGCTTTGGTTTTAATAGCAACAACCTTCTTGGAAGTTTTTTTCATCTTTTTACATTACTGCATTGCAGGCTCAATTTAACTTTCTAATACATGGCTGATTTCTTCATTTCATTGTCTTCCTTATGATGTTATTTCTAAAAGTAAATGAGTAATAAATTTAATATAAGAAATAATAATTTAAGTTTATGTATTAGTTACTTAACATTAAGTATTCTTTTAAAAAGCATTGCATGTTTTTCCATGCTGCAGAAATTTCACTCTTCTAAAGGTTATGTTGTTAAGCACAAATTACTTATATATGGAAGTGAGAAAGCTATAAAAAATCTATGGAATCCAGTATGACAGTGCATAAACATAGAAGTCCTACAGCAAGGCAGTGTGCCTGAAAACTAAAGCTGTCAGCTGGAAAAATGTCTCAGAACACCAAGCCTGAAAAATCTTGTCCATTAAATAAGCCATCGCCTCTGCAAAGTTAATAGACATCTAAATGAAATGAAGAACAGTCAGTGGAGGTGATGCTTTATTCAGTATCACTCACCAGCCATGGTCTGTAAATAGGAACATCCCAATTGGAAGGGAAGACAGTGAATTATTGCTGTCTCTTTAACAGCCACAGCAAGAGATTATATGACAGGGAAATTAATTTGAAATTTTGGAGAAGCTAAGGTTCTATACTTTAGTAATTAATACAATATTATTAAAAAGAGCCTTTAGTTTGTGCAGCAAAACACAACTTGTTGCCCCAAGGTGTGGTGATGACTGAAGTAACAACGAGCGACGGGTGCAGAAGTTTGCTTCTCGTTTCCGCGCGGTGCACGGCTCTGTTGGGTCTCCTCTCTGACGTTCTCAAGTGGTTCAGTAGTGATGGTTAACGAGAGTCCCGTGAATCCCTATGCCGTCCCTCGCAGTTCACCTCAGTTAACAAAACATTCTTCTCTCTTGTAGGATGTATGTGTGAAGGCTTATTTAGCTCTTCGACATCACACAAACCTGCTGATCATCCTCTTCTCCATGATGCTAATGACTGGGATGCCCCAATTAACCAGCAAAGAGGATATTGAATATATCCGGGATGCACTGACAGTAGGGAAAAGCGAAGAAGATGCCAAAAAGCATTTTCTTGATCAGATAGAGGTTTGCAGAGATAAGGGCTGGACTGTGCAATTTAACTGGTTTTTACATCTTGTGCTTGGAATCAAACAAGGAGTAGAAAAGCATTCTGCTTAACGTTTTATATAAATTAACTGTGGGTGTGAATAGGAGGTTAGTGAATCTACATGTTATTTATGCATTTCGAATAAATGAGCAGTCAGAATTGCCTTTACTTAAATGGATCTTCTAAAAAGGAAAGGACTTTTGCTCTGCCCTTCTAGAAGATCTTCCTGCGGTTAGGATTTTTTTTAATACCTAATGACACTTCAAGTTGCTGGATTCTTTTATCTAATTGCTTTGCTGATGTGGCCTGCATTTTTTAGTAATAATTTAAGATAAATATGAAGGAGAAGCTTGAGTAAGATGATAGCCTGCAAATTCAAATAGAAAACCCTTATGACATTACCTCAATTGTTCTTGAGGGTCAAGCCCTTCAAGAGCAGAAGAATCTATTTAAAATCTATAGTTATACTGAAATCCCTGTAGGCAATTCATATCCTTCTCAGGATAGCCTATGCTCAAGTGTTCTTCACCCACATCCTTTTACCCCTTAACACTTTGTCCTTTTTGGGTTTTTAATATGTTGCCAGTAGAAAACAGCTTTGACTCTACCACTGGAGGAAATTATTGTAGCCTCCTGACATTCACAACTGAGCTCGACTGTCCCACCAGGAGAAATTCATAGTTACCTGGAGGTTCCTCAGGTTTGAACCTGAAATTCTGAAGGTTTAATTTTGAAAGGTTTTTTTAAGTGTACTTTTTAATGGGGAAAGTCCATATTTTATTACAGATTATATTCTTACTGTAAAGTTACTAAAATTCCACCTGTATAGTAAAAGCTTTATCGAAAAAGCAATGGTACTTCCTTATTCCTCAGAGAAAACTCCTTCTGTAAGAGTAATTGACATTTTACCAAATATTTGAGAAGCCCAAAGTTATTTATTCTTTGGTGATATATTTTCAGGATATACCTAGAAGAAATTCAGTGTAATCTTTGAAATTGTGTATATTTTGCTATTTATTTTTAAATTCCTTAAGAGACTATACTACTGAAAAGCTATTTATGAAAGAAAAAGAAATCCTTATCTTAAATTTCAATATTTAAACTTAAAAGAGGAAAAAATGGGCAATGTTAAATAGAATTTTAACTTCTGTATTGTAGGACACCTGCAAATCATTAAGTCTGCCTGTGGTAGGAAAGGAAAAACATATATAGCATGAATTAATCTTTGACTTGAATTACTATGGTATACTTCCTGCTAATTGATTTTGACCAAAGATAGAAGATGGCTTACAGGATTGCTTTTTTGCACTTGTGCCTGTGTAATTTCTTCTTTCATTGTAGTCTTACATGGGTTTTACATTTCATATAAATGATTAACTGAATGTTTAAATTCTGTTATCATTTGCTTTGATCATTTCACAGAACTGTTAAGATTTCAACTACTGCTACCACTGTTACTACTGAGTGTATTCTTGAAGGATTTTTAATGAACGTACTGTAATTGGTGTCTCAGTTATGAGATATAGCCAATCTATTCTTGAAATGTAGATGTTTAATTGGTTACTGTGCACAACTGCATTTTTTATGTATATGGTAGACTCTAGTTAAGGAAATCTAAGAAGTTAAAATGTAGAATAATTTGTTGTTCTGTTACATTATTATTCTGTAAAAGATAGGCTTAAGACTGTACTAAAATATAAATGGTGAATATTGTCTGTCAAATGACATTTTTAGATTTGTATTTTATAGATCTGAAATAAATTTACATGTTCTATTCATTTGATTATCATTCGTGAATAAGCAGCTCAGCCCAAAATACATGTAAATATTTTTTATCCAGTTACTTAAAGACTATAAAGTCTTAGTAAGAAATCATATTCAAAGTCCTCACTCAGAGGAGTTGTTTTAGTTCCATATTAATAACTCCGTGTGATGTCAGATACCTTAAATTTTAATAGTCTGTAGCATTAGAATTGCAATTATAATTGTGAAATGTGAACAGCATATTACGCCTTTCTAAGAGCATTTTATTAATTCCTGGTGTGTTCTATAAAGAAAAATCTGAATATTTTAGTAAATTCCTAGTTTTAAAAAATAAGTAAACCTACTGCTAACTCCAGCATGGGGAAATAAATGTTAAAACACAATTTCAAGGGACATGGCACTCCTGAAGCAAGCTCCATTCGCAGCAAAAGCTCTGCAAGAGGTCTGCACCCAGAGAAAAGCAGTTCAGTCCTGCACTAAACTTAGACTGATCATTTTTATCAGCAGTTTGCAATGTGCTGTTTGAACTGTCTACAATACTTGTTGCAGACACCTGAAACATCTCTGTGCTGAGCTCATTAGCAGATTCTTCATTGCTTTCCTTGCCCGTGGAGCCCACGGTTGGGCTGCCTGGGCAGTGCTACGCTGCCTCGCGCCTTCCTTTGAACACCCCCTCAGCGTCAGGCATTGGGCGTTTGCCAGCCTGACTTCAGGGAGAGCAGAGGGAGCTGCCAAGTCTCCTTTTTACCTACACAACAAGCCACAAGGCAGCTTACTGCCACTTTAATTATAAATAGCTGCACATTTGTACGGCTGATTATCTGTTGGCTTTCATGTGCCTCTGGAAACCTATACCCACAGCTGATTGTTTTCTGCCTAGGAAGAACACCGTAGAGACATGATGTGAGGCAGTCCAGCTTCAAGGTGGAGTGGAATGGTTTTTCAGGTGGAGGCGGGCACGAGCACACATCTGCCTGTCCCAGTGCAGAACACGGCTGTCGCTTTTGCAGCGGTGGCTGCATAGGCAAGGCCTGGGGAGCTGGAACTTGAGCATAGCCCCCACTGCCAGAGCGGGGAGCTGAACCACAGTTTCCTGAGTTTGGACCTGATGTCTTCCAGTGTGTAAACACACCAGCCCTTCAAAACAGCTGGTTTATAAGGGCTATAAAGCAGGAAATGTAAATGAGTCACTAACCACATTTTTCACAGGCTCTAACACAGGATACAGAGAGAGAAAATTTCTAAATTTTCTGAGTAGCTCTGAATTCTCATCCTTGTCTCCTGGTAGCCTTAAGACTATTTCTTGAAAATTATTTTTAAGGGCTGCTTTTTCTTTAAGCTGTATTATATTTTCTTGGTAGTCTAAATTCACATTACTACTGCAACTAACAGTGGAAATTTGAATCTATTCTTAGAGTCGGTGCCTCAGACCCGGTTGTGACTTGACGTATGCTTTGGCTCCAGCAAGATCAATGAGATGTTGGTTACCGATGAGTGTCCCCCAAGGCTCCAGCCTGATTATATTCCAGGATGGGAAGAGGAGTTGAAAGGGAGCTGAGGTGTACAGCATGGTTATATTTAGATCTCCGTTCAATACACCAGTTGCACTTGGTAGAGGTATTTATCATAAGCAGAATATTTACCTTATTTAACACATATTTGGCAGAATTTCCTCTAAAATGTGACCAATAATAAAGAAATACAGATGAGAAACTGACTGAAGAAGAATATCAGTGGAAATTAAGACTTATTTTAAAATGTGTTTTTCATTATGAACCTTTTTCACTGTCCACTGGCAGTGTTCTGCAAATCCACAAGTAGTCCCTAGGATTATGTAGATTACAGATTCTGTGCTGACAACTTTCTAACTCAGTTTGTGTAAAGTAGTCTTGAAAATAATAAATTATTAAAATTAAAATAAAATCATAGAATCATAGAATGTGTTGGGTTGGAAGAGACCTTTAAAGATCATCTAGTCCAACCCCCCTGCAGTAAGCAGGGACATCTTTAGCTAGATCAGATTGCTCAGAGCCCCATCAAGCCTGACCATCTACAGGGTCTGGTAAGCCCTTTGAGTATCCCAGTAATTCTGAGATACTCAGTAATAATCTGTAAAACACTGATGTGCTTTCATGAATCTTCTAATCATAACTCATACAATATATGTTGGAAATAGCACTCCAGAAATCTTCTGTTCTCCTGGTCAGAAATCTGAAGGAAGAGGTTCCTGCCATGCTCACCCCACTCCACATTTTGGGGGCAGAATTGACCAGAAAAGGTACTAGTAAATTTTTAAACTTTGTGGCACATTTACAGAAAATAAGAATCATGCTGGAGAGAAGAAAGCACTTTGTCTGCAGATACACCATTAATAATAAGGACTAATCAAAGGTACAAAGATGTGGTTATAACCATGTGAGGTTTGTACACCATTATGTCATTAGAGAAAAGAGGCATTGGTGACTGTTACAATACAACAAAGGAAGACGGTCAGAAGGACATGTTTTTTCCTGGCTTTCTGAGCCTCAGTGGGTGCTTTTACCCAGCAGGAGAGAGGCTGATGCCCTGCCTGTTGATAGCGAGCAAGTAGGCACTTGACAGGAAGAACTTTCCTTCCTGCCCCTGGGAACAGGGGTTTGTCATTTCAGAGGGTGCACGGCAGCACTTGGCACAGCAAGAGCCCTCCAGAGGCTGGAGAAGACGAGTAGGCAGTGTTGAGAAAAAGATGTACCATTTCTCAGGTGATCTCCTGGGATGTAAAAGAAGAGGCTGTCACTTTGGAAACAGCAGCAGCAGAGTGCCAGAAACACATGCCGGTTAAATTTAGCTAACAAAAGAGCCCTGTGTATGGCAGCAGTGCTATATCTAGTGTGTACGAGCACATCCCACACTTCAGTGCAGTCTCCCTGGTGTTCAGCATTAGGAGCCACCGTTTGCAGGCACTGGTCGTGCTCTCAAAGCTGCAGCGTCTATGGTCAGAGTTTGCCACCAATCCATGTATTAAGTGCATGAAGAAACAAATGGAAATGGACAATCTGCAGATAGCAGCTTTTCTTGGAAGGATGAACATTGAGTAGATACACAACATAAGAAGGTAAAAATTAAGGTAACAAAGAATAACCAGGCAAGATGCCTGAAAGTACAAAGAAAATAGAAATATTAATGGCCCATAGTACGGTTTTAAAACTACAGCTCAGACTTTGTACCAGATCATCCTTTGCCTCTGAATATATCTCCCTTTATCGAGACTAATTATCCTGTAAAAAGCTACAAGGGCTATGACTGTTTAATAACCCAGGCGATCTGC